AAAAAAAAAAAAAAGAAAATATCTGATGTTAATGTTGTCTTTTGATAAGTGTTTACATGGTGTTTTTCCCTCCTTTTACTTGTAACTTGTGTCTTTATATGTACATTGGATTTCTTCCTTTCTTTTTTCTTTTTTTAGGCAGAGTCTCACTATGTTGCCCTCGGTAGAGTGCCCTCACAGCTCACAGCAACCTCAAACTCTTGGGCTTAAGTGATTCTCTTGCTTCAGCTTTACAAGTAGCTGGGGCTACATGTGCCAGCTACAATGCCTGTTCTTTTTGTTTGTTTGTTTAGCAGGCCTGGGCCAGGCTGGAACCCACTAGGCCTGGAGCATGTGGCCAGTACCTTAACCACTAAGCGATGGGCACCTATTCCTGATAGTATCTTTTAATTGGTCTGTCTAGATCATTTACATTTAATGTAATTATCAGTGTAATTGGATTAAAATCTACCATCTTGTTTGTTTTTTCTATTTGTTCTGTGTGTTCTTTCTAGTTTTTTCTTCTTTTGCTGCCTACTTTTGGATTATGTATTTTATCTCCACTGTTAACTCATTATTTATACCTCTTTTTTAAAATTGTATAATAGTTGTCCTAGTTTTAGAACATTAATTACATTTACCTTTAAATGTTATATATATGGCTTCATATGTAATATAAGAAATTTACAATAGCATGCTTCCAATTCTTCCTTCTTATCTTTTGTGCTACTGTTTTCAGACATTTTCCTTATACATATACCATGTGGGTCATTGTAAAAGTTTTGAGATAACACAAAAATCAAGACATGTAAAAATCAGGGTCATGTGTGGTGGCTCATATATATAATCCCAGCATTCTGGAAGGCTGAGGCTGGTGGATAGCCTGAGCCCAGAGGTTAGGGTCCACCCTGAACAAGAGCGAGATCCCATTGCTACAAAAAAATAGAAAAACTAGCCAGGCATAGTGGTGGGTGCCTGTAGTCCCAGCTACTAGGGGGAGGCTGAGGCAAGAGGCTCACTTGAGCTCAAAAGTTTGAGGTTGAGGCAAGAGAATCCCTTGACCCCAAGAGTTAGAGGTTGCTGTGAGCTATGATGCCACGGCACTCTACCAAGGGTGATAAAAGTGAGACTTTGTCTCCAAAAAAGAAGAAGAAAAGAAACGTAAAATCCATGCAGACGGAAACAACTGGAACCCTCTGAGCAACGCCATAAGCTAAGCAAGTAGAAACTTGCATGGGTGAGTCAGAAAGGATACTTGTCAACTGTGCTTTCGGAAGTGAAATAATGGACCATAACACAGTCTGTCTCAAAACTTTTGTAATGACCCACATGTAA